CAGAGAGCCGGCCGGGGGCCGCGCCACTGACCGCGCTGTCCCCCCGCAGAGAGCCGGCCGCACCGGGACGTGCTGCGGAGCGCCCACATCCGCCTGGTGCCCGTGGCCGAGCTGCGCGGGCTGCGAGGTGCGTGAGGGGCCGGGGCTGTGCGGGGGGAGCGGGGGGAACGAGCTTTGGGTGGAACAATAAACCCCACAGGAGCGGCCGGAGCGTGTGCGGGTCCAGCCCCGCCGCCCTCAGAGCTGCACACCCTGATCTCCCTCCTAGAATTAAACACCTGCTGGTAGCGGGGCACTCGATGCCGTTCGGATGCAGAGCGAAATGCGGAAATGCTTTCTGTTTTCCCTTTTCCCCTCCCAGCTTGTGTATTTATCACTGTTGCCCAGAGAAGCTGTGGCTGCCCCATCCCTGGAAGTGTCCAAGGCCAGGTTGGACGGGGCTTGGAGCAGCCTGGGCTGGTGGAAGGTGTCCCTGCCCATGGCAGAGGGTAGCAGTGGATGGGCTTTAAGGTCCCACCAACCAAACCATTCTGGGATTCTATGACTTCTTTCTATACAAAATACATATGGGAATTTATAGGGACCATGAGGTATTTACTTAGCTTTGTAACGATCATAGAACAGAATCAAAAAACCCTTTAGTTTGGAAAAACCTTCTAAGATCATCGAGTCCAACTGTTCCCCCAGCACTCCCAAAGCCCTCACTAACTCATGTCCCCAAGTGCCACATCTACACACACAGCTTTTAAATCCTTCCAGGGGCAATGACTGCACCACTGCCCTGAGCAGCTGTGTCAGGGCCTGACCACTCTTTCTGTGAAGAAATTTCTCCAATATCTAATATAAACCTCTCCTGGCACAACTTGAGGCCATTTCCTCTCATCCTGTCCCTTGTTCCCTGGGAGCAGAGCCCGATCCCTCCCCCGGCTCCCCCCTCCTGTCAGGGAGTTGCAGAGCCAGAAGGTCCCCCCTGAGCCTCCTTTTCTCCAGGCTGAGCTCCCCCAGCTCCCTCAGCTGCTCCTGGTGCTCCAGCCCCTTCCCAGCTCCGTTCTCTCCTCTGGACACACTCCAGCCCCTCAAAGTCTTTTCTCTCGTGGTCCATCCTGCCCAGATCCCTCAGCAGAGCCTTCCAACCATCAAGCAGATCAACACACTCGCTCAACTTTGTGCCATCTCCAGACTTGCTGAGGGAGTGCTCAATCACTTATGCACTTCATGGATAAAGATATTAAAACGTGTTTCCATTTTTACAGGATACCTTTATTTTAACCCTCTCTCTGCAGAGCTGGCTGGCTCTGTTATGATGTACACATTTCTGTGGGGAGAGCTGTAATATTCTTACCAGTTTTCCTGTCATTTTGCAGTGGGTCCAAAGCTTTTCCAGTACGTCATAAAGGTCCTTGTGCAGTCAGTGCAGTTACTGTATACACTGCTGAGGATAGATCAGCCCTCCTATATTCTTCTTCAGGTATGTTTTGTGGGGGACTAATTTTAATAAAAACAAATAGTGCTACTTCACAAGGCATTTTTAGAAGTCTCAGACATTGTTCTAGTTATTTGAGAGCTGAACTGGCCTCATCAATGGTGTAAACCTATATCAAAGAATTTTTTTGCCTCTAAACTTTTTGATTTTCCTGTTAGCAACTCAGGTTTGCTCTTCCTGTTAATTGTTGGGCTTTTAAACTTCATTGGCATGGGCAGTAGTAAAGAATAAATCTCACTGGAAATGCTGCTGTGTTTATTGGAGGGGGATTTTGATCCTGATCCAGGGTGAAATTTGAAATGCCCACCAATCTTAATAGGTGAATACAAATAGTCTCTGGTCATTAAGCTCCTTTAAAGCGATGTAATTTCAATAATTGGATTTTTTTCTGGTAGTTGCTTTGTGTTTGTCACTTGACCACACTCTTGTGCTGTTTCTGGTTTATTTTTGAGCAGAATCCCCCGGGCTTACCCAGTATAGCTGTTGCCTGGGTGGCAGGTCTGTTCTGGAGAAGCAAACTGATAATTGATTGGCACAACTATGGATACACCATAATGAGCCTGAGTCATGGGAGGAACCACCCGCTGGTGCAGATTGCAAAGTGGTTTGTACAGTCACTTCTCCTCCTTCAAATTGCATACCTGGGTGGGATTCAGAATGGAAACCAGTGGGGAGAATATAATTGGCAAAGGGCTGTTTGTGAGAGGGATTTCTGGGGTTTGCTGTGCTGAACTGGTTTCTATTTCAGAAAACATGTTTTGAAATTGCCTTTGTTGGACACGTAGGGGGTGGTTTGAAGTAGGTGGGTTGCTTTTATGTGCATATGCAAACTTTGATCTTGTTATTAGAATTTCTCTATAGGTACTGAGTTTTTTATTCTCTAATGCTGCTTTACACTCCAGCTCTCCCTTAAAAAGCTGCTTCTTGCTGAATCTAATTGGTTGTGTGCAGTTAAAAGCTTTAAAGGCTTTCTAGTGTAGGTGTTGGAGTCCTGCTGTAGCCCTTCTCATAAACTGATATTGCTTCAGCACCAGGAGTCCATCAATAACTGGGAATAATTGGTAATTAAATTTCAGTTTTGGGGGCAGTTGAGTTTCTTTGGGGTTTGTTTGGCTTTCACTTGTCACGGGCACTGGGGGCATTTAAAGCAATTGCCTGCCTGTGGTTTCTAACTGACTTTTAACTTTTGTCAGGTATGAAAAGCTTTTTGGGCGCTTGTCTGACTATAACTTGTGTGTCACTGATGCAATGAAGGAAGATCTCTGGATGAATTGCAACATAAAGTAAGTCACAAATTACTCTGTGTGTGCAAAGTGAAATGAAAACAGATCCCTGAGGATTCAGGGGCATCCTACAAAAGCAACTCCACTGAAACTATTAGCTCTGTTTTGTAATGAGCCAGTGGAGTGTGGGCATTCAGGAGTCTTCATTACCCTTCTTAATTAACACCCAGTTGACTGGGAGGTGACAGTCCAGGTGTCAGGGAGGTTTGCTGCCAGGCTGCCAATAGAGTGGGAATAATCACTGGGATTTTTAACAATTAGTCTGCCCTGACAGCTTTTCTTTTGCAGTCAGGGGGCTTTAAGATCAGGGTTGCTCAGGGGCAGTTACAGAGTAAGTTTGAAAAATCAAGACAGTGATGTCTGCAGTTTGTACAGGTGCATTTCACCCCTAGAATAGGCACCATGAAAGGGGCTCTTTGTTACAGGATTATTGTGTCCACCCCGGTGTATTCCAGCAAACTTCAGGCATACAGACAGATGTAAGAGTCAAAACCAGAATTACTTTGCAGTATTGATTTACTTAATTACTTTCTGCATTCCATGTCCAGCCTGTCGCTGAGCCAGGTACATGTTGCTACGTCTGTATCTATTTAAGCTGTTCCCGTGTTTCCTCACAGGGCAGTAACTCTGTATGACAAACCAGCTTCTTACTTTAAGGAGACACCGTTGGACCTCCGGCACCGTCTGTACATGAAACTCGCCCAGGACTACGAGCCCTTCCGAGCACGGTGGGTGTGAGTGCAGCTGTGGGGTGTGAGTGCAGCTGTGGGCTGTGAGTGCAGCTGTGGGCTGTGAGTGCAGCTGTGGGGTGTGAGTGCAGCTGTGAGTGCAGCTGTGGGGTGTGAGTGCAGCTGTGGGGTGTGAGTGCAGCTGTGAGTGCAGCTGTGGGCTGTGAGTGCAGCTGTGGGCTGTGAGTGCAGCTGTGGGCTGTGAGTGCAGCTGTGAGGTGTGAGTGCAGCTGTGGGCTGTGAGTGCAGCTGTGGGCTGTGAGTGCAGCTGTGCTGCCAGTCTCTCCCGCAGGGCCAGGGAGCTGGGGCACTTGGTGGCCACAGGCACTTGTGTGGGGGCCCGGGCTCTGAGCCCCAGAGGCACAGTGGGCCCAGTGCTCGGAGCAGCTGGTGCTGTGCAGGTTGGCTCAGGATCACGGGGAGAGGCCAGACATGAAATCACTGAACTGTGCTGACACAAGACTTGGTGTGTGAAGTAGAAGTGTTTTGTTTTTAAAGAAGTTGGCACAAGCACTGAGGCAATCTGTGACAGAGTATCTCTAGGGTGGAATGACAATGGTTGGATGCTTCCTTAATAGCACCTCTTCCTTACTTACTGTGAGAGCCTTCAGGGTCTTGGTTTGAGTGTTGCATGTTCCCCTCTGCCTGTGTGCAGGGTGTCACCTGTAGCAGATTGACCAGGGAGTTACTTTACCAAACTAATGCTTGAAAAAGAAGTGAAATCCATAGTGTGTAGAGGGTATTTTTGAAATGCCCACCTCAGAATGTGTAGGGTCTGAGTTGAATGGAATAAATGTGCTGTTGGCCTCCATGCTCTGTGAGACAGAGCTGCAAAGGGAGGGTGGCTGTTTGCTCAGCTTGTTAAGGAAAACACTCTGCTGGAAGATGGAATCGTGTCTGTAGCAGTAGGAGGCAGGAAAAATGGCCTCTCCTGGTCTGGTATTTCTCCATAGCTCTGTAGGATGCCTCTGTTTCTGGAGAGGTTGAGCAGCAAATCTAAAACAAAATGTTTGGGAATTCCTGCCACTTAAGCAGTGTTTGCTGCTGCTGTTGGCTGTGTGTGTAGCCCATCCTGAGGAAGCTGTGTGTCCACAGTGCAGAGCCTGTGGATCCCAGAGCTGAGAGATCTGCCTTCACAGAGAGGGATGGCAGGGATGGACCTGTGGTGGAGTCCAGGGGCCGGCCAGCTCTTCTCATCAGCAGCACCAGCTGGACAGGTGGGGAAACACTGCATTTTTCATCTAAAATCAGGGCTGTTTGTACTTCCTCACATCTGAAGTTATGTTTTTTCATTTGCCAGGAAAAAATGGAAGACAAGGTGTATATGATACAACTAAGTGTTGCATCATACACAACCAAATGTGGTATAACTTATAGAATGCTAAAAATCAATGATTTTTTAAAGTTATGTTTTAATTATAGAGCTACAGTGTAGAGGCTCAGCTTTAAGGATGGTTGAAGAGATTTCCTACTTCTTTTTTTGCTTTCATTCTAGACATACTATTTTGCAGGGTGGCATAAAATAGTTTAAGAAATTAAAATATTTACTCCTTATTGAGCACCCTGGTCTAATGGAAGGTGTCCCTGCCCATGGTAGGGCTTGGGACAAGATGAGTTTTAAGGTCCCTTCCAACCCAAACCAGTCTGTGATTCCATGATTTCTGATAAATGTGTGTTACATAATTATGTCACTTGTTTCCATTTTCTGTTCCCTTCTTCATACAGAGGCAAAAAAATTCCATTGCTAGTAACCCAGGGGCAGAATTGGCAGAATTGTCTTTATCTTTGAGTTGTCAGGGCAGTTTTTGCACTCAGTTCTTTAGTTTTAGAAACTAGAAAATTGCAACTTGATAGCTTTGAAGATGTGCAGCATTTGTGAGTGGTTTGTCTGCCACATTGCCAGCAAGGGAAGCAAATAAACAGTGTCTGTGGTTATAGACTTTTATTTATGAAAGCAAATTAGCAGATTTTAATAGGAAAAGCATGGTCTGTACTAAATCATGTTGGTGAGGTGAGTCTGATTGTTGTTATTTCAAGACAGTAATTAATCATAAATGATACAAATGTGGATGTCACTAATAAAGCCTTCTCTTTCAGAGGATGAAGACTTCTCTGTCCTTTTAAAAGCTTTAGAAGGTGGGTATGAAGGAATTAATCTCATTTTTCCAAGGGTTGTTTTCTGGACACTTAAAAAGGGTTTTGCTAAACCCTGTTCAGGTGAAAATGCAGCTGTATTTGATTAAGTAGCACTGGTTTAAGAGTGGTAATTGAAATACAGAAGGGCAACATCTGGATTCAATTAGAGGAGTTGTCAGGGAGAATTAAATCTCCAACTAGCTTCTAAATTGCAGTTTTATTTCTTAAGCTATTACAGATACTCTCCATAGGCATCTGCTAATAGGGAGGAAGGGAATACTTTGTCTTATTTTGTAGGCTTTGCAGCTGGCAATTGTAAATTGATCTATTGAAGCAGCTGATTGTGGGGCAGTTGAACAAATGCTTGCTGCATAAACAGAGCATGATTTATTTCTGTACAAGTTTGTAAATTTTAACATTGCTGAATTTACTACTGTTTTACTAAGTACATGCCTGTAAAGAAATAACTTGCAGTAGGAAGCTAAATAATTAATACACTGTGACCACTGTTAAACCAACCATCTGTGTATTTGTGGCCTCCAAGCAGTGTTTTATCTCCTCCAGACTACGAGAGGTTTATTGATGAGGGGGCCAAGCTTCCAGCTCTGGTGTGTGTGATAACAGGTAAGGGCCTGTTTGTGCTGCAATTCTCTCAGTGCTGATACAGAACATTCATTTTCACTTTTGTTCTGTGCTGACTCTTCTGATGGTAAGAAGAGACTGTTGTCTTTATGTCTGGTTATAAGAATGGGAATTTATAGTTGAATTTATAGTTGAACTCACACGATGTAATCATGGCACATTTTCAGAGGAGAAGCTCTTGGCCTCCCTCTCTACTCACTGTCCCTGCTACAGTTCTGCACTACTCCATGTTCAGAACAGTTTAAACTCTAGGTACACATCACTTTGAAAGGGACTTGGATATTTATGTGTCTTTTGGAGGATCATGTGTGGTGTCCTTTTGGATGTACCTGATACAACAGCAGCTCAGCAGCTGTACAGTAAAATTCACAGACCACACTATTTTCAGTCAGCTTGATGAAAAACTACTAAATATTTTTCTTTCCTGTTTTAAACAGGTAAAGGACCTCTAAAAGACTACTACAATGGACTGATACAGAAACTGCACTTTAAACATATCCAGATCTGTACACCCTGGCTGGAAGCTGAGGATTACCCTCTTTTGCTTGGTAAATAGTGGGTGATGAAACAGGCTGGAGAACGTGTGAAAAACAACTTGGCCCAGGGGCAGAGAACTGATACAGACTGTGCACAGAACCTGGTAGAATATAGCAGTGAGTGCTTGGTTAGTGACAGGAGACTCGTGGCTTTGACTCATTCCAGCAAAAATGTTGAATTTCTCTGGCTGTTCACTGTTATCCCAAAAAGCTGGCTTAGTACCTGTTGCTGGTTTAGCCTGTTCTTTGCACTCTTTGTTTCTTCTGTGCTGAAATACAGCTGCCTGTGCACGTTCCAGCTTATTTTCAGGGTCACTCCTGTAAATGAAATCAAAAAGCTTTTCGCTAAGCAACCAAAAGTAGCTGAAATTTTTAATTAACTTGTCACTGGAATGTTATTCCCTCAGCATGTTCATTGTAACAGCATAAAGTGGGAGTAATAAAGTAGTACAATACGTGTTTAACTTGATCTCCATTCTGCAGGATTAGAGCCTGACAATTTATATGGCTTTAAAACACTGTGTTTATTTGGTCCTTTTCAAATAATGAACATAATGGCTATAAAATCACACTGTAATTTCTCTATTTTGAGATGACTTGAACTGGGAGAGGTCACCAGTGAGCCAAGCAGCATATCCTGTCTGGTTTGTGCTGGAGTTTTCCTTCACTTATCCATTCTTAGCAGATCAAGGGGTAGAAAGGCTGTTTTAAGATGCATGAAACTTTAAAATCCCCTCTAATTTAATATGCACTCACTCACGTTTCTAAAACCTGACTAATTTTAATCACAAAATGTATTGTGCTTTTTTTTTTTCCCCTGAGTGCTTGAAACAGAGTCAGTCTGGGTGGCTGGAGGGGGCTCCACCCAAAGCAGCACAGAAATGAAGGTTTGCAGCAGGACAGAAGAGCTGCTCTCAGAGAATTCAGACTGTTTTGTTTGCTTTTCAGGCTCAGCAGACCTGGGGGTGTGTCTCCATAAATCATCCAGTGGTTTGGATTTGCCCATGAAGGTGGTGGATATGTTTGGCTGCTGTTTACCTGTGTGTGCAATATATTTTGAATGGTAAGACCTTGTTCTGTTACAGATCAAGTGATTCACATAAAAAATACTCTTACAAAGCAAGAGTTCAGCAGCTACTGCAGGAGTCCAATGAGATTGCTGTATTATGCCATTTTTTTAAATTCAATAAGTTAGAAATCAAGGTTGTTATAAATTTTAAGAATGACACTAGTTTCTCCAAAGGTTGGAGCATGTCATGCAACCACTTGCCTTAAAAAATCCCTGTTATCCTTTGTTTCCAAATATTTAATTTTAAAAAAAGCTTCCTTCCGTTCAGTGGAGAGGTGAGTGTATGCATAGGCACTCTTGGAATTCATGGTCCTCTGGGAAAACAGTAGCTTTATAAAGGAAGGTAGCTTCTCTGTGAAGATTTCATGACGGATCATGGAAAAATTTTCCTCGTGGGTTAGTTTTAAAGTAGATTATTGCCCTGATTTTTCATGTTATGTCCAGTTGACTGGCACAGAGTGAGGGCCCTTTGGTACAGTTGTGGTTGATTTAGTCTGACATAGGAAGGAGAAAGAGTCTTTAAATTAGAAGATTTTAAACTGCCAAGTGTGGGGCTCATATCAATGATAATGTCACAGATATCCTGGGGTGGCCCCTTTGGCTCTCACTGTACAACATTTTAAATGTCCCACTTGCTGCTTTTTGTCTCATTATTTCCTTCTGTGACTTCTCTTCACAGTTTACATGAACTCGTGAAACACAATGAAAATGGTCTGATATTCAGGGACTCGAGTGAACTCGCAGAACAACTGAAGGTAAAGGCTTTGACTCATTTCTGCCCCCCAGGTGTGACCCCAAAGGTGCCACCACGTGGGCAGCCCTTTCACAGCTGTCTGTCTGTGTATTTTGCTTTCTCAGAAGGCACTGCTTGGCCTGGTGAACATTATTTGGCTCTCTTGTGTTTAAATGAGAATCTGAAGCTGGCAAAAGCATTGAAAATGTTGTCATTGTTCTGTTTCTGGGGCCAGACCCAAGAACAGTCTCACTGCAGCTTTGTAGTTGAGGGTTAATGCTGGGGAGGCTGCAGTGAGCCTGAAATGGAACATGATGATGTTCTTGTGGGTTTGCCCTTTGTATTACAGATGCTTTTCCTGGAATTTCCGACCCTGGAAGGCAAACTGCACAGCTTCAGACAGAACCTCAGGGCCTCCGAGGAGCTGCGCTGGGACGAGAGCTGGGACCAGACTGTGCTGCCCTTGCTGGGGCACAAGGAATGACTGTGGGGAAGGAGGGTGGCAAAGCTGATACATTCCTGGACTGCAGAGGTTTGATAAACAGTGAATAAACACTTTGTATTGTCTACAGTTGCAGTTTTTAACTACTTCAACGTGTTTGCACACTCACTCCTCTTCCTTTCCAATTCAAGTTTCCTGTGTAAGAGCAGAGCTGAAGGTGCAGCTGGAGCTGTTTGCTGTGTGTCCACCTGTGTTGCTCAAAGGTCAATTTTTGGTGAAGATACTTGAATACAGATAGAAACTATTACCACTTTCACCTGCTGGACACTCAGCACCTTAGTAGGTGATTTGGGTATGGTTTTTTTGCAAGTGGGAAATGCCTTTTATTTGAATTGTTTAATTTCAACTGGTCAAAGGTTGGACTTAATGATCTTGGTCTTTTCCAATCAAAATTATTCTGAAATTTAACTGAGGATACATGGAGGGATTTTGTTTACTCAAGCAGTAAATTGCCTAGTCTTCCTTAGACACACACTGAATATCCTCTTGTATGATTTTATTGAGACAGAACTGTTTTGTTTCAAAGTTGTTTTCCTTTTCACAGTGTGTGCAGGAATGTGGAAGTGCAGCTGCTGGGGTGTGACAGCTTTACTGGGTACTTAGAGGAAAACAGACCTTGCAGTGAGAGCTCCCCTTGTAGTCTGAAGTGAATGTGCCCATTCACCTTGAGAAAGAACATCAAATTTATCTCTTTTTGAACAGATGAATAGAACAGGGAAAAATAAACCCCAAACATACGTGTGATGTAATCAAAGGCACTTCACTTGGTGAGTGCTCACTCAGGTGCACCCTTCAGCTTTTTATTGTTCAGATCAGTACATGCAGACTGATGCTTCCACGTTTTTTTCATCACCTTTTTGGTTATAAAATAGATGTCAGTCATTTAAGGAACAGAAATGCTTGGGTTTATCATGTGGTTACTGCTCCTCAAAGCTCCCAGTTCAGGGGTGGGAGGTGGTGACAGTGGGTTCTGCACCAGCATTTTTAAACCCTCTGACTGAGTAATCATCAAAAATCTGCTTTTTTCAGAAGGAAAAAGGTGAAAATAAAGGAGACAAGTTGCTTTACTGCAGGAGTTTGGCAAAACCTCCAGCTTCTTGACTGAAGAATGGTTCATAAAGATTTATTTGCCAATATTTTAGTGTATCTTTCCTACTGTTTTCAGTCAAAATCCTGTCTGGGGGCTTTGCCGTTCCCCTTTAGCCAATCCTGTGCACGTGGAGATAAATTAGGCACTTCTCTAATTAAACAGTAATGCCAAAAGCTTCAGAGAGGTTTCATCTTCCTATAATAAGAATTTTAGATGTAAAATGAGCCATCTGTACAGAACCTTTGAGTGACTTGAATTTTGTGTAAGGGAGCTCCTGTTTGGGCTGCCAGCTTGCACTTCCTCTAGAAATAATACCTTTGAGTTCTTCCTTTTTGGGGACAGGGAGCTAAAACCTGGGCTGGGGTAACTTCTGCTTAATCCCAGCAGTTGTGGCCTCTTTCAGCTTGAAGAATAAGATGATTCTTCAGGTTTCAAATTACCTACCACCCATTTTCTCTCCGTTGCTACAGAAGGAGGAGGCTGAAGTATTTGTTCATTTTCCTGTAAGTAGCTTTTAAAACAAGATAGAGAAAAAGAAAGTCTAAAGAGGAGAATGAGCAGCATTTGATCTTCTGCTTTGGGACCAGGAGGAGAATGATGAATGGACACTGGACAGTTTCTGAGCAGGTGAGCTCAGTGTTTCCTCCTTGCAGGATCCCTGGAGCATTGCTGTGGAGTATGAGTCCTTTTTTATTTCCTGGCCAACCTGACAGGAAGGTCCCAGCAGCCAGTGGTGAAAGTGGCAGCTCTTAAGTGAGAGGAATGTACCTCAGTTGTGATTTTTGTCCTCACTGCAGGGTGAAGATGCCCCTGACTTCCAGCAGAGCCTGTCCCCTGCTCTTACAGCAGTGTGAGCCTGGGACATCCCACAGCTCTGGAGGTATTAGTCACTGCTCATTTACTGGTTCATTTTTAAGACTGACCAGACTGCCAGTATATAAAAACAAGCATAAAAAAACCAGAGTAGACAATTCCAGCTGATTTTAATATTTAAAAATATTTTTTACTCTGAACCATTGTCTTGCTCCTTGTCCGTGGGAGATCCTCATCCTGTGACCCCGCAGGTTTGCCTCCAGCGTTAACAAAACAGAACACAGTTAAAAAAACACACTTGAATTCTGTTGTCTTCTACAGAATTAAAGTGCAGTGTGATTAGGGCTTAATTTTTTTTGTATTGTTTGAGGTTCACTCACTTTTCAGGAGCAGCAGCTTCTTTGCAGAAATGCTGGAAATTACAGGAAGAAACAACTCACATTGACAACAGCCCGTGTGTACAGTCCAGCACCTCTGGTATGTGCTTCCAGAACTCAGGATAATCTTGTTGCAAGGATGACATAGTCTCAAAATTCTAATTCTATTTGCCAAGCCTATATAAATAGCTGGAGAATAGTTACATTTGGCTGCACATCATAGAGAAAATTACTGTTGCCGTGGGCTGGAATAATCTGCCACCTGATCTCGACTTTATCTGTGAAGAGAAACACTGGGAATCATATTTAGGCTTACTAAAATGAAGAGCACAAGTTGCATGACAAGTTCTGTAGGAAGAGATCTTTACCATGCTGTGAAAGAAAGCTACAGGCAAATGCTTTGAGTGTTTTTAAAAGACACCAGTAATGCCTCTCTCAGCATCATTTTGTGAATTAACCAGTTGCTGAGCAGACGACAGACTGCAAAAGATAGGCTTCAGAAGAGTACATGAAGAAAAATCCCATTTTATTTAATCTCTAGTTGGTTTTTAACCCTCAAAGAAGTGGTAAGATAAGATGAAGGGTTTAGGCTGCATCTCTGTTATTTATCACTGTGACAGAGCAGCACAGATGGTTTCCCTGCTTTAAGCTTAACCCTGTTTAGTTTCCTCCCTTTTGAGCCCACCACACTTGCAGTGTGTGCTGTGACAGATGTGAGCTGTGATAGCCAGGATGTACCTAAAGGTAAGTTCCAATCTCCTGATCAAATCCCTGAGGAAAAGCTACTGCTCTTAAATCCACCTCTAGGATAACAGTCTCACTATTGGACAATGCTCCTCACCAAAAAAATGCTCCTGTTCATCTCTACCACAGAATAAGTGATGGGGAAAGAGGCAAAACTATTGAACACTTGATGAAAGAGGCCCCTACCCAGTTCAGCCTGGAACAGGTGATACGTGTCTGGGTTACGGAGTGTGAAGGCAATGAAGACCTCAGGAGCTTTTCTGTCTGCTCTGCAGGTGGAGAGTTTCTGTAGCATCCCAATGAGGGCTAAAATTATCTCTGGATCATACACCACGTCTGAAAAAAAAAAAAAAAAGAGGGAAACATACAATATTTATTGAGGATTGAGCAAAAAGCAGAATGAGAACTGCAAAACAAAAATATAAAATATTCACAGTGCAGGAGAATATGTTTTTTTTTTATTCATGGGTTAAAAATTCCCAAGGAGAGATCTTCAGAAATGCCTCTGGTTTATGTGCTATGCCCTCATCTCTACTATCACTCCAAAATCACTAAAAATCCGTGCTCCTTTTTGTAAATGGATTGTCAGATATTTTATTTAGGCTCATCCTAAGGGAGACAGCAGGAACACTGAGTGTTGGTGCTGTTGCCACTGCCCTTGGCAAAACAAACCTGCCTTATTAAAAATGGGTGTTTTAGAGGCTGAAGGCAGAGGACTTGCAGCAATTTGAATCCAGAGTCATTTCCTGGAGAGCAGAAATAGTGATGGGAGGTGAGAGTGAGCACCAAGGGGTACGAAATGCTGATCCTCAGAGGTGGCTGGTTACTGTGTGGAAGTGTTGAGGTGTCTGTACCTCTGACAGACCCAGCACTTACTTGTGATCCAACATAATCAGGGCACGTCCTGCAGTAATGAGTAACAGCAAAGAGTAGACAGATCTAAGTCTCCTTTAGTTCTTGTCTTCAGAGTCCAGCTTGGGCTGGTTTGGGCACTGAACAGTGTGGTTGGCATTGGGTAACATACAGTGGCTTCATCTTACAGAATTCACATTCACACCTTGTGATACCTTGGATGACAAAGTCATTTGCTCACCTGGATTCTCAGCTAATTTTTGCTTTGCAAAGCTCCAAATCAGGGATTAAAACCCTGTAGCTACAGCTGAGACAATTTACCATCACTCGATTTTCCAAGATTAGATTTCCTATAAACTCCCTCCAGATTTATATATGGGCAAGTCCAAAAAAGGGCTGCAGTTGTTTTTTTGGGGTTTTTTTATGATGTCATCCCTCGAGAGCCTGCCAGGACTCCGAGTTCTGCACCCCTGTCCCTCCACTCTGCTCCCTCCTGCAGGGAGTGACGAACCTGCTGCGATGACAACGTCAGGTTGGAGACCCACCAGCTGTTCCTCTGTCACTGAGCCCCAGTCAAGTTCTGCAACCATCAGTTTTGGGGTTTGGCAGTTCTTTGTTTCCACCTCCTGCCCTTGGGGCTCTGTTTGGATACACCAGGTCACTTGGAAGCCATTGAGACGGATGTTCTCTCCCAGCTGTCTGAGAACACAGTGGTGGCAGTCACTAAATATGTATGTCTTGGGTTGGCAGGTCTTACAGATGGCAATTCCAGTGAAGCCAATCCCACTTCCTAATTCCAAGACTGTCCTGAAGGAAAACAGATTAAAAGAAGTACTATTAGGGCTCTACATTAAGTTGGAAATCAAAATACTGCAAGTAAAATTAAAGGTAAAATGAGCTGCAGATAATTTCAGTAATTTTTGAGTAAACCATTCACAACCTAACCTTTATCTCAAACAACTGGAGAGCTGGGAAATGCTGAGGGTCAGCATAAATTAATTACCTGAAATGCTTCTTTTGCATATGGTACAAAGCATTCCCAGTATGGGGATGAGAGACATTCCCACCTGGTTTTAGCCATCTGCATCTGCCTCCCCCTGAAGTGGCTCTTTTCAGAGTCAGGGCAGAGAAAGGGACACTGAGCAGCACAGCTCCTCTGGGAGTCAGTATTTTAAATTATCTTTCCTCAAAAGTGCTTGTTCCTCTTGCCTGTTTATAAATAAAGCCCAGACGATGTGATCAGACCTGCACATGGATCCTCTAATGCTGGTGAGATGGATCCCAGCAAGGAGTGAAGTGCATCAGTTAAATTACTGAAAACTGAACAGCTGAACTTCAAAGCAAGTCAGGCTGCACAGTGCCAGGGTTTTGATCTTAACCCCCATCCTGACAGAATTACAAGGTCCTGAGTTACAGCTTGACTTGCAGAAGACAAGAGCAGCAGTTACCCAGCAGCAAAATGGGGTGATTCCACTTATTTTGGGTGTATATATTGCCTATTATTAAATATTACTATTATAAATATTGTCTATTATTAAACTACAGTTTCGTAGGTCACAGTAACAGGGCTGGAGCCCCTCTGCTCTGGAGCCAGGCTGGGAGAGCTGGGGGGGTTCACCTGGAGAAGAGAAGGCTCCAGGGAGACCTGAGAGCCCCTTCCAGGGCCTAAAGGGGCTCCAGGAGAGCTGGAGAGGGACTGGGGACAAGGGATGGAGGGACAGGACAAGGGGGAATGGCTTCCCACTGCCAGAGGGCAGGGTTAGATGGGATACTGGGAGGAAATTCTTCCCTGTGAGGGTGGGGAGGCCCTGGCACAGGTTGCCCAGAGAAGCTGTGGCTGCCCCTGGATCCCTGGAAGTGTCCAAGGCCAGGTTGGACAGGGCTTGGAGCAACCTGGGCTGGTGGAAGGTGTCCCTGCCCATGACAGAAGAACAGAATGAGACCATCTTTAAGGTCCCTTCCACCCCAAACCATGCCATGATTCTGTATGGATTTTTCCCCCTTTCCACCCAAGCTGTGCCATTACCTGGCCCTGAACACCTCGGGGTTGCCCCCTGCCCACCCGGCGAGGTGCAGGGCAGCCTCCCACGTGACGAGCCCCGTGGTGCCCCCAGAGATCATGGCTGTGCTCTCACAAAGGGTCACACAGTCTCCTGTGGGCTGGAGGACACACAAGAAAGCAAAGATGGATCAGCACAGACAACAGGTTTACACTTCGCAATCAATACTGGCACCTGGGAAAAGGCAGGAAGCACTCCAGGCTTCTGAAGGGTTATTTTTAAAGCCAATTATTGCTTAGTTCAGATTACTAAATGTGATTCAGAACAGTGCAGCATCAATGCTTACCAGTAAGTAGTTTTTGTAACACTGAGTAGATTCTTCTTCTTTTAAAACATCTGCCAGTGTATTATACAGTTCATCCAGGGGTTCAGCTGCTGTGGATTCGTGCTGTGGGAAGAACAGGGCACCTCTGGGAGTCACATTGTCATGAAAACAAAAAACACTTGCACTTTTAAGTCCCATTTAATACATTGTTGGCCCCAATATTTACAATATTGTGGTTTGTTATTACATGGGATATTTTCAAGGGAAAAAAGAAGAGTGAAAAGCAAGCAGTACCTTTTTTATGAGCTCAGTCAGAAAGCACCTCCTGTACTTGGTTGAGGGGGGATATTTCACACACAGAGGGTGGAGGATGGTCTGAAACAGGAACAGCCACGGAAACCAGTCACCAGGGAGGGGTTAGGAAAGGCACTGAGGGCCAGAGAAGGACCATTAACTGGCTCTCAGTGCCATGAAATGCATTGGGATTTAGTCTGTACAAGTGATGCTGAGCCAGAAATTGAAATTTTATGATTTCTGATTGGTTTGTGAGTTTACAGATCTGGGGCAGCAGATTTCTTACCTTCTGAGGCAGCAAAAATCTCCCTTTTCAGAGTAAAGAGCAAAACTGAATGGGAATAGTCCAGTTTGCCCCCCTCCTTCTTTTGCTTTTCTCTTCCCTCTTTCCTTTTCGGCTTGCTGCCTGATTTGCTTTTTTCCCATCCCCAGGGACAGTTTAGGCACCAGCATTCCCTGTATCCCGGAGCATCCAGGACCAGCTGGGCAGACTCGCCTGTGCCATCCACCGCATCAGCGCTCGGGCACGCGGGTCTCAATTCCGACCCAAGAACAGCCAAATAAACGGCAGGGAAGGAAACCTGCAGTTCTGCAGGGCCCAGCGAAGCGCTGCGGGCCCGGATCGCTGCATTTACGAGCGACCCCGGCGGCTCCGGGGGCACACGCGGTGGCAGCCGGGGGTGTCCCCACCTGGTGCAGGATATCCCGGAGCAGGGGCGAGTCCGGCGCAGCCCGCAGGTTTTGTTCCAGCTCCTAAACCGGGATAAATAAATAAACAAACAAACCAACAAAGCAGCGCTGCCGCGTCCCCCACCCACCCCCCGCCCGGTCCTCCCCCGGTACCGGCCAGGGCAGCGAGCGGAGCGGCCGCGCCGCCAGGAACCGCCGCTGGAAGCGGAGCCGCAGCCCCGGCTCGGGCCCGGCCATGGCCCCGGCGGCGCAGAGCCGGGCAGAGCCGGGCAGGGCCGGGAAGGGCCGGGCAGGGCCGGGAAGGGCCGCGCATCCCCGGGCTCGCGTGGAGGGAGGGCCCGGGGGAGGAGCCGCCGGGGGAGGAGCGGAACGGCCCGAGCGGGGCCTCGAACCCGCGACCCTCCGGTCACAGCCCGGGACTGCCCGGCTGAGCGGCCACGGCCAGCAGGGGGCGCCACGGCCCCGCCGCGCCCGCGCCGGGACCGACCCGGACACGGGGACACTGGGGGGGGGGGCATTGGGATCGATGGGATCGATCATGGGATCGATCAGTGGGACCGATGGGATCGATCGGTGGGATCGATCGGTGGGATCGATGGGATTGATCAGTGGGATCGATGGGATCGGTGGGATTGATCAGTGGGATCAATGGGATTGATCAGTGAGATTAATCAGTAGGATCAATGGGATCAGGGGATGGGTTGGATTGGAAGGACCGTAAAGCCCATCTCGTTCCACCCCCTGCCATGGGCAGGGACACCTTCCACTGGCCCAGGTTGCTCCAAGCCCCATCCAACCTGGCCTTGGACACTTCCAGGGATGGGGCAGCCACAGCTTCTCTGGGCAACTGTGCCAGGGCCTCCCCACCCTCACAGGGAAGAATTTTTTCCTAATATCTAACCTAAACCTATTCTCTTTCATTTTGGACCCATTCCCCCTTGTCCTGCACTACGTGCTCTTGTGCATAGTCCTGCCCCATCTTTCCTGTAAGTTCCCCTCAGCAGGGAGGCGGCCCGCAGGTCACCCCAAAGCTCCTCTTTCCCAGGCTGCACAACCGCAGCTCCCCCGGCCCTTCCCCCGGGAGCCTCCCCATCCCTCCCGCCGCTCCGCTCGGTGCCTCCCCCGCGCTCGTCATCGCTCCGCGCCCGCCGCCCTCACTGCGAGCGCCGCGGACAAGGACGGGGCGCCCGCGGCCGGGCGGGCACCGAGCGGGGCCGGGGCTGCACCGAGCCGAGCGGGGCCGGGCCGGGCCATGAGCGGCTACACGGAGGATGAGAAGCTGCGGCTGCAGCAGCTCCGGGCCCTGCGGCGCCGGTGGCTGCGGGACCAGGAGCTGAGCGAGCGGGAGCCCGTCCTGCCCCCGCGCAAGCTCGGCCCGGTGGCCGCGTTCTGGGAGCGCTTCCTGCGGCCCGGGGGGCTCTGGCGGCAGCAGGTGAGGGGGACGGGGGGCCGCCTGTCCCGGCCAGGGCCCGCTGGCCCCGCCTGACCCGCCACTGTCCCCGCAGGTGTACAAGGCCTACCAGACCGGCGGGTTCCTCCTGGTGCGGGTGCTGATCCCCGCCTGGCTCATCACCTACTACCTGAAGTACCACGTCATGGTGCGGGGGCGCGGGGGGCGCGGGGGAGGGCGGGTTGAACCCCGCAGTAAGGCCGTGGGGGGGGGTGAGGGCTGATCCCACACGGGGGTGTGAACGTGCTGCCTATGTCGGGCTGCAGGCTGAGGTGACCTCCCGTGGCCTGTCCACCTCTCGTGTTTACTTGCTTAGGTGGCACAAATATATGTATTTCTGGTGATATTTTATGATAAAAAATCGCTCTGGTGAGACCCCACCTGCAGTGCTGCCTCCAGCTTTGGGGTTCCCAGTACACAAAGGACGTGGAGCTGTTGGAGCAAGTCCAGAGGAGGCCACAGAGATGCTCCCAGGGCTGGAGCCCCTCTGCTCTGGAGCCAGGCTGGGAGAGCTGGGGGGGTTCACCTGGAGAAGAGAAGGCTCCAGGGAGACCTGAGAGCCCCTTCCAGGGCCTAAAGGGGCTCCAGGAGAGCTGGAGAGGGACTGGGGACAAGGGATGGAGGGACAGGCCAAGGGGGAATGGCTTCCCACTGCCAGAGGGCAGGGTTAGATGGGATATTGGGAAGGAATGGTTGGCTGTGAGGGTGGGAAGGCCCTGGCACAGGTTGCCCAGAGAAGCTGTGGCTGCCCCTGGATCCCTGGAAGTGTCCAAGGCCAGGTTGAATGGGGCTTGGAGCAACCTGGGCTAGTGGAAGGTGTCCTTACCCATGGCAGGGCATGGAAGGAAATGGGCTTTAAGGTCCCTTCCACCCCAAATCATGCCATGATTCTGTGATTTATGGCAGTGCCCAGCTTTGCCTGTGCTGCCTCCTGTGAGCTGGAAAGCTGTGCCTGAGTTGTTGCTTTCCTGGAGGAGTGGTGACCATGGGAATAACCAGGGCAGCTGCTGGTGTGGGGAATGGGAAAGACTTGTACTCCCTCCAAATAACACTCTTTTCTTTCCCCTTCCCCTCTCTCTCCCCCACTTCCAGAAAAAGCCTCATGGAGTGGTCATGGCAAATCCACAGATATTCCCAGTAAGTCTGTTAACACTTGTTTTGTCTTCCAGCTTTGTCAGGCAGAGGGGAAGGGGTTCCATGGGGAGAAGTGCAAGTTTGTGCAGCAGCTGAGAAATTCCTGGTAGAGACTCTGGAGGGATGTGGGGTGTTCTGTGGGCAGCCTGTCCTAGAGCAGCACAGAACAGTGTTTTTGGGCAGTTCTCATCTTGTCCTCGGAGCAGACAGTCCCTGTTTCAGTGGGACCTCCTCTCTAGCTGCAGACTTTGGAGTACCTGGCTGACAGTACCTGGCTGACATGGCCCATGGGGAGGAAAACACAAACATTTCCTTTGGGAATGGGTGTTTAAAGCCTCTGTGGTTATTAACACATGGAATGACAGAGTGGTTCTGCTTCTCCTCATTGTCAGCACTGGGAATGTTGGTTCTGGCTTGGTCCCAGGTGTCCCTGCAGGTCCCCCATGCTCAGGGGTCCCCAAAGAGTTGTGTCACCTCAGTTTGGAGTGTTTTTTGAAGCAGAGAGGGTCAGATTGCTTGGTCTCTTTTCAGGCTGCTCTGAGCTGTTACTGTTTGGTGTAACAAGTCAGAGGGCAAACACTCTCCTAGAAAATCAGCTCTGCCCTTTCTGACAGCTGCACATTTTTGGCAGTTCTAACAAGTTCCATCCCTAACAACCACGTAGCAACATACTGAAGGTCAGGCTGTTGTCCTCTGTCTTCAGCCTAGATTTTCAGTCAATTTAGGTCAGCCCAGTGGGCCAGGACAGTGCCTGGAGCTGGAACAGGCAGCACTTGGGCAGCAGGTTGATTTTTGAGGGATTATGTGTCTCTCCATAGTCACCAGGCCCTGGGTTTGAACTCACTGAACCCTGTGCTGTGCTGAAGGGGGTTATGCAGTGCTATGAGTCCAATATACATTTTTAAAACAAGACAGTCTCAAAGTGTTTGGCTGCTGTTCTGTGGTGAAGCAGGTGCAGGTTCAGGTAGTTTGGTTGTGATGTGATTCCCGTATCCTGGGAATGTTGGGTGAGTGAGAGTGTTCCGAGTGAGTTGCAGTGAGATTTTTGTCTGGGAGTGGGGAAGTTGCAGGTTCCCTGAAGGGCTGGGCTGTGCAGGGAGGGGCTGGGTGCAGGAGGGAATGCTCACCACGCTCTCATCCCTCAGGGGGACAGGATTTTAGAGACTGGAGAAGTCATGCCACCCCTGAAAGAAGATCCCCACAAGCACCACTGATGGCTGGGAGCTGATTTCCTCCTTCAGCAAACACAGCAGGAGCTGCACCTGCTTTCTCTGTTCTATAAAAGAGTCTTTATTCTGCATCGCCTCAGCTTCTCTCATTTACTGATTACCCCTCAGTCCACGTCAGGTGCTCCTCCTGTGGGAGTTCCTTTGGCCTTTGGTGAGTGTTATTGCTGGGTCCTGATGATCTCCAAGCCCCTTCCTCACCTTTAATCTGACCTGACAGACCTGGCAGCAGGACAATGTGGCCTTGGAGGGACAGGAGACATGCTGTTGGTCCCAGGGATTTTGGAGCAGGCTGCCCCGAGGAGGGGTGTCACACTGACCTCCTCTCACACACACAGTTCTCCTCTCCCACTCTACCAGACTCTTTTCTACCAACCAGTTCTGACAGGTTTCCAGTGAAAATTAAGTTTTCATCTATGTCATCCCACTTGTCTGACTAGGGAGGGTGGCAGAAGAGACACTGCTGCCAAAATTCCTTTTTACCCCTCATTTCTCTGCCTTCAGCCCCTTCTGAGGGGGATTATTCCAGCCCCCACTGGCCCCACGTACCTGGGGCACTTCCTACTGGGAAGAGTGGCCCACTGGGAGCAGGGAGCTGGAGTCAGGGATCCCTATGGATCCCTTCCAATCTAAGATATTCTATGATTCAAAGTATTTTAGTAGCTGGGGGACAGAAATGGTTGAACCAGCCCTCAGGTAGGTAAGGGGAGGGTCTGGGACAGAAACCCCTCCTGAGCCGTGTGAGACCCATACAGCCCATGTTTGTGAAGTGGAGGGACAGGCCAGAGCCCCCCCTGCTGTGTTTGGGGACAGCCAGACCCCTCATAAGTGCTCTGGAAGGGACTTGACCAACAAGGCCATGGCAAACACAGAGGAAAACTGTCCTGCAGTCAGAGGAGATCAGGGAGGGAGGCACAGATCCTGTGTCAGGCACCTGGCTCAGCCCCCAGGCCCTGGCCAAACCCACATCCATCTCTTTCCTCGGGTCAGCATCAGCTTGGGGTGGGACAGCAAGTGAGGAATAAAGGGGCAGGGCAGTCATGGGCTGTGAGGAACCAGTGGGATCCTGTGGGTCATCACTGGGAGGCCCTGGAGGGGTCACTGGGGCAGGTTGGGGGTCACTGGGGGAGCTGGAGAGTCAGCAGGGCTTGGGGAGTCACTGGGAAGGTAAAGAGTGAAGGGACTGGGGTTGATGGGGGCCCTTGAGGGTTATCAGTGGCCACAGGGGGGCAGTGGGGTTGGTGGAGGGGGCTGAGACCTGTCCTTTCTTCCCATTGCCTTGGGGGTCCTGGCCCCGTGACTGGGGGGTCCCTGTCACCCCCCACCCAGAAGTGCTCCTGCCCCAAAGTGTCACAGGCTGAAGTGACCCTTCTGCACCAATTGCTGCTGCTCAGCCTGGCTGACCCTGGTGGCACCGTGGACAGGGAGGTGGCCCCTGGCCCCCAGTGACACATCCTGTGCCCAAGGATATCAG